GGCTTCCATAATATTTCTGCCCCAGAGAGAGGTAGTTGGAAAATGTGCTTTGTGGTTGGGTATTGTAATGAAAAATAAAAGAATGATTGAGCAGGAGAGTGGAATCAAATTATGAGCATAAGACAACTGTTCTGAAGTTTTTAACCACTTGCAAAATTGAGAGATACTATCAGGACTATGATATTGCTCTGATTAAATTTCCTGGGTAAAATATGAAAATATTTATAAAACTGAGAATTCTGCCCTGCATCAATTTTTCTCTGTGATTATAATAAACTAAAATAAGCCATAACTTGTATTTATTTAGTTAAAAGCTATAAAAATGGTAAAATAATAAAGAATTGAACAAAAATACTTCACAGTGAGAATAATGAACCTCTATTCAGGTCTTTTGTTAAAATTGCTAAAATATTGAAGAATATTCAACCAACAAAGTAAAGACTAATCTAAGAGGGTTTTTAAATTTGATTTTCTAAATATTGTTATGGAAGTTATTTTGTTACTTTTTCTTCAAACCTCTTTTTCATGTATAAAAACTATAGTTTTTCAATATGACAGTTAAAAATTCTTAAGTTAAAAAGAATTAGATCTTTAATGATACTGAGTAATTCAGTCATAGTTTAGAAAGAATATATTTGGATTCTAGTTTTTCTTTTCCAGTGTGAAATGAAAGATTTTAATTGTAGATTTTTTTCTAACTTTCTTCAGAATATACTTGAAGAAATCATTGATATAAAAAGGATTAACTAAGAAAAATCCTGACATACAAAGCATTTCTCTTATATAAATCTCTAGAAATACTCTTTTGTCAATCCAAAGAGAACAAACTAAAAAGAGATAATTGGGAAGGTGCCCATAAAGTCAGCCTGAATATATTATCACAACTATATATGAGATAATACTTGTTTAAAAAAGATTCTATGGCACTGTAAACTCAGTCTCATTAGAGACTGCATTTAAAAGGCTTATAAAGTTACTCATTAATGTTATCTTGTTGTATCTCCACAGCTTTTTCATTAAAGAAAATTCAGCAGAAAGCATTTTCTCCTGATAGCAGGAACCAATTTGCAATAAATGTTCTGGAAACCACTAGGGAAGCCATTACTGAGGTCTAATAAAAACAGACAAGCGTAACTTGTTCTATATTTTTGTTTCAATCACATACAGATGAGACCCCGCTTTCTACACCAACCGCAAGAGATGGCCTTGACAAACTTTCTCTAACTGGGCATGGACAACCACTGCCTCCAGGTTTTCCATCTCCTTTTCTGTTTCCTGATGGATTGTCTTCCATAGAGACCCTCCTGACTAATATACAGGTAGGCCTATTTACATTCTGGAAGAGAGGAACATGCAATACTCAGATGTGGATTTTCTTTCCAAAGTTCATCCAATTCCATTTAATCCATTCATAAGGTAGACTGAACCAGCTATTAAGCTTTTTTCCCCCAGAAATTAAAGTTTTAAACTTGCTACACTATTCAAATTGGCTTAGCAATACTTAGATATGTATATTAAATCATAATGAAACTTAGATGAAAATTACATGGGCATTTAAAAACACATTCTGCCTAAAAGCTCCCTTTATTGCCTATGAATGGGACAAACTTAACTGTTACAAGTTTGTCTGATTTACTAAATGACGGCACACCAGTTCTAATAAATATTTAGATATTTTTAAACTGCTAGCCTTCCAATGAGGAAATGATGTTTAGTCATTTAAAATATGTGCAATATAAAAGAATCCAAAAAAAATCTCTTGCTGCATAAATAAGTTTGTTTCAATTAATAGAGTTTCTTCAAAGAACAGACTTCAAAAAGCTATGCAAAAGTTTCCACGGATTTCCTATGTGGTCTTCAGGATGTATACTTTACG